ACGCATTCAATTTTGTTCAGTACACAAAGGCAAACCCGCTTTAATGTCGGTGTCGACTTTACCCCACATACATAGTGTCGACAATGCCCCACACGACATTTTTGCAAACAAGTTACATAAAAATCATGATAACTTAACAAAATTTTATGACGAGTGTCATTTATATCTTCTGTGAACTCTACTGAATAAAGCCAACATACCTTGATAACTCTTCGCAATGCACAATTCTCAAAAAACCAAACTTCACACGATCGGAAAATTTTACTTTTGTGTGCCAAAAACACATGTGGCGTAATAACAAATTTTCCATAACTCAGAATGCCACCAAACTTCGTTGGTAATGTGGGGCTCTTAGGATCTACATTCGGTAAAAAAATTACGTCGATATGATTTATAGTTTTTTTTTTAAGAACGGGTGTCGACTTTACCCCACTGTCGACAATGCCCCATGCTCCCCTATATCATTTATTATTATGACCAATCGTCGAAAATACAGAAACTTCATTAAAAAAAACCGACATAGCTTCGATGTTGTTTAGCCTTTATGTATTATGCTTGACATATTTGATGATTGCAAGGGTATATAATCTTCGGCTCGCCGAAGCTAGCTTTCGTGTTAGAAGTAAATATTGCTCTCTCCTTAAACTTTGTTGAGATTTTAGAAATAAAAAAAAATATTTTTGATGTGATCTCCTGACAGCTACGACCGTTCCTAGAACTGAAAAAACAGCGTCTTCATTTCTTAATAAAATAAGTGTAATTCCGTGCTTTTAGTTAAAGATATTTTTTTTATTAGAAGGCTAAGTGCATGGTGTTTATTTCATCTTGGAACATCAAAATTAAGGTCAATTTTCAATTTAAACTTCACGGGCTTAACATTTCGGGCTAGATTTTCTTTCTTGAGCGTCCTGACAATCATCATTCGACGCATATTGTTCCACAACGTCAGTATTCTCCTAATTTGGCTCCGTGTGACTTGTTGCTATTCCCAAGACCACTCCGGGGAAAGCAGTTTGAGTTAATTGAGAAGATAAAAGCTGAATCGAAGAAGGCGTGGATGGCTATAACGGAAAGGGACTACTTGACTACTTGATCAAAAAGTTCCCAACTTTTATTAATAAAATCAAAAAATAGGTAAAAAAAAAAAACTTTTTAAGTTAAACCGTTTTATGTAAAACATACATTGCAATAAAACCGTGGGGCAAGACAATTGTCTACAATCGTTGATTAAAATGTTTGTTTGCCCCACGGTTTTATTTTAGTCTAGTCTAAGCATATGTTTATAATTCCCACGTCTGTATCTATTTTATATTATTTTTAGTTTTCAATACATTTACCTTAAACATTGCAATGTATGTTTTACATAAAACGGTTTAACTTAAAAAAGTTTTTTTTACCCATTTGTATTTTATTACTAACAAGAAAGGAAGCTAGCTTCGGCAAGCCGAACCTTATATACCCTTGCAGTCATCAAATATGTCGAACAAAATACATAAAGGCTAGCAACATCAAATCTATGGCGATTTTTATATTATTTTTATATTGTTCATATGACAGCTATATGATATAGTCGTCCGATTTTGATGAAATTTAATTTGTAACTCAAGAGTCATTAGAAACCTCTATGTTCCAAAAATCATGATTGTCTGATGAAATACAACGATGTTTTAATTTTTTTCCGTTATTTCTATATAGGTTTTTCGATCTTTCCTATGGCAGCTATATGATATAGTACTACGATTATTATGAAACTGTTTTCTCATTATAAGGGTTATTAAAAAACTTGATGTTCAAAAAATCTTGCTCGTGCGATAAAAAACAACGATGTTATCAATTTAATGGAAATAAATCTATATAAATTTTCGATCGCTCCTATGGCAGCTATATGATAGTGTTATCCGATTTTGATCAAATTTAATCCGAAATTCAATAACAGTTAGAAAACGCCATCTTGAAGAATTCAACTCGATCTGATCAAAAACAACGGCGTTAGAAGTTTTCATTTCATTCCCTCGTATGGGAGCTATCCGATATAGTCGGCCGATCCGGCTCGTTCCGACTTATATACTGCGTGCAATAACTACACACCTTTTGCGAAAGTTTCAGCAAGATAGCTTTAAAACTGAGAGACTAGTTTACATAGAAACAGACAGACGGACAGACAGACAGACGGACAGACGTACAGACGTATTCCGACTCTGCTCGTGATGCTGATCAAGAATATATATACTTTATGGGGTCTGAGGTGTCTCCTTCACTGCGTTGCAAACTTCTGACTGAAATTATAATACCCTTTTGCTCTGCAAGGGTATAAAAACCATTTGGAGCGGCGGTTCAATTTAGCATAGTAAATTGTATTCTACTTGTTGAGACCTTTTATTTGATACCCATATTGATGGGATTAATAAAACCTACGTTATCCGCCATTTTGTAGAGGCCGCCATCTTGGAGTTTAATTTTATATAGTACATTGTATTCTACGGGTTGAGAACTTTCATTTGATACCCATATTGATGGGATTGATAAAACCTACGTTATCCGCCATTTTGCGGTCGCCATCTTGGATTTACAATGTTATTGATATTACTATATTGTATTGTCATCGGAACTGAAGGTGTGTACCAAATTTCAGATCAATCTGACAACAGGAAGGTACTTAAATTTCAGTTTGTAATTTTGATCGAAGGGTGAGCTAAATAAAACAGTTTAAAAATACAAAGTTATTCATTACAAGCATCGGGCAGCGTTTTAAGGGCGTGTTATCCTTGAAAAGTGATCAGCGTTCAGCTCGACCCAAGGCTTTAAGTGACTGGAAGCGGGCCAAAATCATAGAACAAGTGAAAGTAAACCCGAAAATTTCATTAACAAAGATTGCAGATGAGGTGAGAGAACAGTTTTTGAAAAAATTTCTCCCCATTACGGTTCGGAGGACACTGCATAGAGCTAACTATACGTATCGGATCGCAAAAAGGAAACCGCTTATTTCTAAAGTCAACAAACAGAAGCGATTGGACTATGCAAAAGAGAATTTGAATAGCCAGTTGATTTTTGGGCTAATGTCATCTTTTCTGACAAAAAAAAATTTAATGTTTTCCAAACTTTTTGAAAAAAGCCTTAAATAAAACTCCTAAACATGGTTAAACACCAGTTAAGCATGGTGTTGGAGGCGTCATGGTGTGGGGCTGCAAGTCCAATGCAGGTGTCGATGATTTCGAGTTTATAGAAGGAATCATGGGAAAAAATAATATTTCGATATTCTTAAAGGAAACCTCCAAAAAAGTGCCCAGAAGGTCGCTAAAGCCTTGAGTCAACGTGTGCGCTGATTAGGCGCCCTTAAAACGCTGCCCGATGGTTGTAATGGTTAAGTGGCTTCTGTCTATCATTTCCCCGATCTCACCATATAATTTTCCAAGATTGTGGAAATTCCAAATAATTTTCCGGTCCGATAATGTAGAGTTTTTATGTTTACCCCTTATTTTATGAAAAAAAGGTTAAAAAAACGCAATTCGATACTTTTAGCTGGAAAAAGTTATACCATACCAATCAGGGGATAATAATAAATGTGTTAAAAAAAAAAAAACTGGCCAAATCGGTAAAATTGTGTCAAAATTTCAAATTAAAAGCAAGTGTGCCAATAATTCAGGAAGATTCGGGACTTGTTTTCGTTATTTTAATTTTGAAAATTAACTATAAGATGTAAAATATTAAAATAAACTGCGTTGTGTTGTTAATTAATTATATTATGTAAATAAATTTTGTTTTATGTAAATATCCCCATTTTAAGGGGAGAAACTGAACCTCAAAGTTGAAGAAGCCAACTGTGCCAATAATTATGTTCGTCACTGTATGCACACATACACAACGAAATCTGCCCTGCAGTTCTGGATGTCCACTGTGGACTTTTGGCAATTAAGCAATCATATGTGTAGGAAAGGAAAAGGGGTGTTCCTAAGTGTTCCTCTCTTTCTCACTCTTATAACACGAATCGTTGCTTGCAAACGACGGCGGCCCGACACCAAATTTGTCTTCTATTCTTTCGTTCGGAGAAAAATGAAATTGACCTGCGTCATTCTTTTAAGGGGGGGTAAGGTTTTAAAAAATTTTTTTTTACATTTTTTTTTTATTTTTTTCTGAATGACCAATATGTCAAGAACATTGTGTTCAAATTTTGAGTCAATTAAAGTCAAACTAACGGAGTTACAGCGTTTTAAACAACCGTATTTGGACGTATTTTCCCGTATAAAAATACTTTGAATCGATTTTGCCGAAGACGCTATTTTGAAAGTCGGTGAACATCAGAACTCAAAATCTACTGAACCGATCCTTTTCAAATTTTTAACACAAATTCTCAACATAAATACGCAGGTAATCAGGAAGAGTTTTTTTAATTTTTAATTTTTTTCTATTGTTAAAAAATAAATTAACAGCGATTTTTAAAGCTAAAATAGCACTTTTCACTTTCAAGTGCTCCCAAAAATAGACAAAAAATAAATTTAAAAAAAACTCTTCCTAATTACCTCGGGAAATTCATTATCTTTACAACGCATATCCCGTTTTTTTTTTAAGATGATCCGTTAACGCCCTATGATGTTCACCGCAAAACAACTTTTTCTTTAGGCGCTTCGGAAGATTAAACGCCACAGGCTTATTTCTTAATATTTTTTAATAATTTTTTTTTTTTTCGAATACTCTTCAAAAGTTAAACAATAACATGTAATTAAGCTCAATAAAATAAACTTACTCATTTCGGCGCAAAAAAAAATCAAACATGGCCCTTTTTTTGGCCATTGAAACTTTACCAAACGGTTTCGAATTGCGACACAATGTTGTCACGCCTGTTAAAAATGTTTATTTGAATAACGGGTGTCTGAGAGTCGAGTTTTAAAATTGCTACGCCTATTGACTTTCATTTGAAATTCGAGGCAAACGATTCCCTCTTCTCTATATTATGGATACGTTAAATATGATTCAAAATTGGTTTTTTTTTTTTTTTATTACAGGTTCCTCGGTTAATTTATCCTGCAACTATTTACAACTAAGAGCGGATAAATCGAAAGGAGTTTTTCATTATGAGGTGCGTTTTTTTCCTCCCGTAGACTCAGTTCATTTAAGACTGAAGTGCCTTAACGATCATAAAGATAAACTTGGAGGTACCAAAACATTTGATGGCAATACCTTGTACTTACCAATTTTGTTACCAAATCAGATGACCGTCTTTGTATCGAAAGTGGAAGATGTTGAAATTCAGATTCGTATTTTATTCAAAAAAAGGAGGCTCTTCAGAACTGCATCCATTTATATAATATTTTGTTTGATCGAGTTATGAAAGCATTAAAATATGTAAGATTTGATCGGAAACAGTTTGACCCATCTTGCCCTAAAATAATACCACTGGCTAAACTAGAAGTTTGGCCAGGCTATGTTACTGCCGTTGATGAATATGAAGGTGGTTTAATGCTTTGCTGTGACGTTTCTCATCGTATATTATGTCAAAAAACCGTTTTAGATATGCTGGTTGATATATACCAACAAAACGGCGACGATTACCAAGTATGCGTTAGAAAGTCATTGGTTGGAAATATAGTATTAACAAGATACAATAACCGTACATATAAAATAAATGAGATTTGCTTCGATCAAAGTCCAATGTCAGAGTTTCGAACCAAAACTGGAGCCATAAGTTATATGGACTATTACAAGCAATACCACAATATACAAATTAAAGATAAGAATCAGCCATTGCTTCTTAGTATTAAAAAATTAAGAGCTAAACCAGATGAACAGGAAGAAATACAATTTTGCTTAATTCCCGAATTGTGTTATCTAACAGGACTTCGCGATGAAATTCGTTCTGATAATAAACTTATGCGTGAAATCGCAACATTTACAAGAGTTTCTCCAAACCAACGGCAGCTTGCGTTAAACAAATTTTACGATAATGTTTCAAAAACTCCCGCCGCACGAGAAATTCTTAACAGTTGGGGACTTTCACTTACCAAAGACTGCATTAAGTTAAAAGGACGACAAATGGACATAGAACAAATTTATTTTTCCAAAACGACGGTATCAGCCGGAAAAAATGCAGAATTTTCCAAACATGCTGTGAACAATGAAATGCTGGAAGTAATTAACCTAAATAATTGGCTTATAATACACTTAAAGAACGATACAAGAGCTGTGTCAAACTTACTTGACAATATAAAAAAGTGTTGTGGACCTCTTGGGATTAATGTGTGTAAACCCATTATAATTTCTTTAGACCAAGATCGAATCGATAGATATATTGAAGCTTTACGACGAAATATAGCTTTGAATACACAAATAGTCGTCTGCATTTGCCATAACAGTAGAGACGATCGATATTCAGCTATAAAAAAAATATGTTGCTCCGAACTACCAATTCCATCACAGGTAAAAATATAATTTGACATTCCTAGATTAATATATAAAATAAGGCATTTAAAAAACGAGAAAAATCTCCTGCATTAAAAACAATTTGATATAAAAACAAAAACAAATAAAAAACTCGGAGATGCGTACAAAGTGTGGCCAAAATCGAAATTTCTCACTTTTAAAATGTGTTTTTAATGTTTGTTAGCACATAACTAATGCGAACTGCACCCATATAGTTTTTTTTTATGAAATTCAGTCTTGTTTTATATATGTATGTAAGGTTATCAAATATTTCCCTTTCTTCCTTTTTGTTTCTTGAATTTCGGGGCCACGTACAAAGCGCTCCAGAGCTCGGATCTGGCAATTGTATAAATTATTAAAGATCATTTTTAAAGGATTTATTTAATGAGACGATTTTGGGTTAGACTTCCGACCCCATTTATTTCCAAAATTCGACTAACTGCTAAGTACATAAATTCTTATAAGAAAATCTGACCCGGCTGCCCGTGCACGGTGTTGGGTAGCCGCCGTTGCGTGGCAGTGTATTGCACGTTGATTGCTTGAGATTTTGGCAACGTCGTTGTGCAAAATCAGCAGGGGTCGGTGGCCTTGCATTATTTTCATGACGGCTATGCATTATTAGCTTGAACCTGTCAATGTTAACTTGAAGGTCATGCTGACCTTCGGAATTCATGTTCTTAGACTGTAGCAAACTTAAATATTCATATAAACAACGCTATATAACTATAAATAGATTGTACGGCCAATTCGTGCCGTTACAAGAGATACAACCTGCGTTTAAGAGAAGTATTTTAACGTAACTTCAAGCAGAGTTGCTTTCAAACAGGTTAAGACGCCAAATTTTGATCTTTCTTTATAAAAGCCCGTATTAAAAGAAAGATAGGCAATAATTACTACGAGCTTGAATTAGGCAATTACTAGGCAATTATCACGTCAAAGACATTCGCCAATGACGTCACTCCAGGCGGTATTAGCCTGTAGAGTGAAATACCCTAGTCTGATTGTGGCAGGGGGGTTTTGTAACGGCGCCTGTAGCGACCGGACTGTATAGTTCGGCCAAGAAGCATGCTTTAAAAAGAAGTTAAGTTAGGCCTTATTAATTTAGCTAATTACACATCCATTTGCTAAAGTAGCTGGACCATAGATGCGGTGCACTGTGGGCCAGAAAATCCAAAAAGTGGCAAAAAACCGATTTCGGAATTTCAAAAAAGTAGTTAGCTGTATTAAAAACGGATATATTGAACTAGTATTTGTCAAAGTTTCTAAGCATTTGGTTACAAATTACAATTTTTACAAGGAATTTAAATAGAAAATATTGCTTGAAACTCAGATAAATATACCTTGTCTTAAATATAAATAAATTTTTATTTCTATATGATACAAAACTATTTATTATTTTTTTACAACTAATAATGTTACGGAAATCAAAAATAATAGTTTTTTTCTTCAAAAAAGTCGAAAAATATTTTTTTTTATTATTTTTAATACAAAGTTATACGATTTTCAATGTTTGCGACACTTCCAAATAGGCGTTCCCCTTCGTTCCCCTAGATATCAATATGTGAATTACTCGGAATTATTCCTTGAAATGTGCTGTTTTTGAAAAAGTTGCGCCTTTTTGCGCATTTTTTGTTTTAAGAAATAAATAAATAAAAAACCTAGCGCGCTTCCACATTTTTTGCAAGCTTTCGTATACACATTTGTGCATGAATTTACATGCGCTGCAGCGTGCTAAATGCTTTTTGCAAGCAAACCAACTGGTGACGGTGTGGTGAAATCGAACTTTTTAAATCCGAATAGAGCGTTTATTATTGTTGTAAGCATGGAGACCTTCACAAAAGGAGAAATTTTGCAAAAATTGAATGATTCGAAAAATTATATCGAACCAGTCTAGTCTTTGAGTATATTTTAAAAAAGTTACATTTTGTTACATTATTGTCGTTACCTAAAGAGGTAATTGACTTATTATTAGAGGCTGCAACTGAAATTAAATCTTCAGTTGAAAAAGAAGAAGTAGATTTCTATGATGAGGATAAACATAATATGTCAAATATACTCAATGAACTGGATGAAATTGAGCTCTCAGAAAATGAAGAAAATAAACAACATATAAGAAAATTTAAAAAAAAATTTAAAAAAAAATTTAATTTAAAAAATGCAAAAAAAAAGTTAAAAAATAAAAAAAAAAAATAAAAAAACCAAAATCGATTTAGGAGCCTTCTCGTGGCACATCCTGAGTGCTTTAGCAAAAGCAGCTAAGCCTAAGCGTAATATATAATTATAAAACAAAATTGTCACAAATTCTTTTTAAAAATATATAAATTTAAACGAATTAGTCGAAAACCCGGAGAACCATCAAAGAACGCTTCAGTTTCGTTTACGTTTCCGAAGTAAGGGGGATATGTGAGGAGGCAAAGCAAGGCCTAGAGAAGGTAACAGGCGTCGATTCAATCGAAAGTGTTTTCTAGGTGCCTGGCAGAGTAGTGGGCGCGAAGCAGGAGCGCTGCCGTGGGAATCATCTGGGCAGGCAGCGACGTCAACAAGGAGAGTTGTCGATCTAAAACCCTTTCGCTTATCCTGAATTTTTTTTTTTTTTTTTGAATGCTTTGTTTGTTGAATCTAACAATAAGTGCATCAAATCTTATACTGTAACATAACTAACAGTCATATAGACTGGTACAGTAAAAATGGCCCTGACAAATTATGGCTGGGTTGGAAGGTCGTTACGTTGTAGGCGGGTTCTTCTAGAAACCAGAGCCAGGTTCCTTGCGAGAGGATTTGGGTGGGCTGAAAGATTTTCCTTGTATGACGCTTTTTGCTTGTCTATTTCATCTTTCACTGCGAGAATGCAAAGATCCCTGTGGATGTTTTGGTTTCTAATATACCATAGTGCCCAGTGATAGTTCTCAGGATCTTTGCTTGAGCCCGCTGTATGATGTCTATGTTGGTTTTGCTCGCCTTGTAGAGCAGTACCAGTGGTATCCGCTGTTTAAAGGACGAATAGAATTGGTCCAATTGTATTTCCTTGTGGGACTCCAACTTCGGTTTTATAGATGTCGGATGTTGTTGTGTTGCACCTCACTGCGAAGACTCTGTTGTAGAGCTACGACTCAAGTAATTTATGAGTGTAACCGGGAAAGTGTGTTTTGATTTTGTGCATGAGACCGTTGAGCCAGACGCGGTCGAATGCTTGCAATACGTCGAAAAATATCGCGCTGCAGTGTTCTCTATATTCGAAGGCTGTGCGAATCTCTGATGTTATTCTGTTGACTTGCTCGATAGTTCCATGTTTTTCTCTGAAGCCAAATTAATGGGCTGGGATAATGTTATGAGCTCCCATATATGGTACCATGCGTGTTAGAAGGCATTTTTCGAAAAGTTTGGACAGGCATGAAAATAGACTTATTGGTCTGTAGGAGGACGGAATCATGTGAACTTTTCCGGTCTTCGGTATTATTATGATTATTGACTTTTTCCATTTATTTTGGGTAGTAGCCAAGACTTATGATCCCATTGAAGAGTTTATAGATGACCTCAATAGCACAGTTTGGAAGTTAAATTATCATTTTTGGAGTTATTTGGTCACCGCCGGGAGCCTTTTTCGGTTTTAACACCCGGATGACTTTGATGATCTCGTTCGATCGAAACACTGTTCTCGTGGATTCACTTTCAGTTTGGATTTGCGGTAGAACAAAAGGATTTGCAGCGGGATTCGGCTGGAAGACGCCCCTGAGATGTGAGGCGCTTAATTTGTTAATCGCCGATCAATTGTCAACATTTTTAAATGGGGTAGCATTTCTATTTCTGTATTTTTAGCATCATCAAGTGTAGCACAACAGGAACCAACCGTAAATATACAATCATGTCGTACTAGATTAGGTTCCGAATTCCAAGTAGCTAGGCGAATGGCTGGCCACTCTCTTTAGGAATTATCTTCTGCAATACAAGTCTCGAGAATCAGAGGAGTTCCCCCTCGTGGGTTTATAAAGCTGTCCTCATTCACATTAGATTTTAATTTACAAATTGAATTCCTTATTGCCCCAACCGCTTTAATAACCTTGCAGAGCAAAGGGTATTATAATTTCAGTTAGAAGTTTGCAACGCAGTAAAGGAGTCACCTCAGACCCCCTATATTCTTAATCAGCATCGCAATCAGAATCGAAATACGTTTGTACGTCTGCCCGTCTGTCCTCCTGTCGGCTTCTATGTAAACTAGTTTCTCAGTTTTAAAGCTATCTTGCTGAAACTTTCCCAAAAGGTGTGTAGTTATTGCACGCAGTATATAATCGGATAGCTCCCATACTAAAGAATGAAATAAAAAATTCTCACGTCGTTGTTTTTGATCAGATCAAATTTCTTCCAGATGGCGTTTTCTAACTACTATTGAATTTCGGACTTAATTTTATTCAAATCGGATAACTCTATCATATAGCTTCCATAGGAAAGATCGAAAAATCTATATAGAAACTAGCTGACCCGGCAAACGTTGTTTTGCCACCAGATGACTTTATAATTTCTGTACAAAAATAACTCAGTTCTAGACTTACATATGTATTTATGTATGTATGTTTAAGTTATTATAATTGCGTCTGGCATAAAATGAATCCAGGTTATTATAATCACAACGTGCATTCACGCGATTGGCAAGTGCGCTTCCGGAATCCTCTCCGCCCATAAAGTAGATTTGTAAGAATTTATGTTGTTCATTTGGCATTGGCAGCAGTGAGCCCATTTTATGATAAACTTGGCCTCTAATTTTTAATGTAGAATTGTAATTTTGACCATTTGCATTAGTATTTCAAACTATTTCTGTTGCCTCGAACGATGTCATTTGAAAGCATGAATTAAATGTTCGAATTGACTTCAGGAACACGTTAGAATCTGGATCCGTGCCGATAAGTAAGCCGTTCAATGGTTCAGGTGGTGTTTCAATTTCTGGTAGTTGCACTTTTCCTGACGCGCAACACGTCCCACATGTGTGACATGACAATGCGGAC